TATATATATATATATATATATATATATATATATATATGAAATATATGAAAAATGCATGTGGGTACTTGAATGAAAGCTCTTGATGAGTGTAATATCGGGATGCGCTTATATTTTCAAAAACGTCAATAGTAAAGAAATTACAGTGCAATTTAACAAAGCTAAATTTTATTTATTTATAGTTCACAAGTCACGGCAGTCACATAGTGACTGCAAAGTTGCTAGTTATTATTATTCCCTTAAAATTTTTCTGTTTTTAATAATAATAAGCTTATTATCAATACACTTGCTCTATAATTTAATTATAAAATAATTACGATTAATTTATAGATATTGAACTTAATATTTCAGTATAAATTATTTAACTATTTATTAATAATTCTGGGTCAAATTGACATTTTTGTTTATAAACTCAAAAGTTATCTTATGAGCTTTAACTTTCAGAAAGTTTATGAAACATCCCGACTGACTAGGAAATCACGAAGCCCCTCGGGGATATTTAATATTTAATTTTCTCATGATAGTAACCATTAAAAATTGAAATTGTTTTTAAAAAAAATTTTCTTGAATTTCAATACTCTTATAAGAAAATTATTGAGTAATCTTTTATGTGAATTTCTATAAATTATTTATTTCTTGAAAATTAGTAAACTTCATATTAAATAAAATTAAAAAACAAATAAATAATTTCAATAAAAATAAAGACATTCTTAATTATATAATAATTTTATTAAATTTATTTTTAATTACAATAATATTTATCATTAATAATTAATTATACATAAATATATCACCAAATAAAAATTACAATCGTATTTATGTAATGATATAATAATAATAATAATAATATTTTTAATAATTTCAAAAACAATAATAACATTAATTATTACAATAAGAGAGCGTAAAATAAAAACTTAAAAAACTAAAACGATCAATTACATCTTGGGAAAAGTTTATAATTTTTTTTATTTAAAGAAGTGCGCTTTAAAAATCTTATATTTACTCGACAAGGTTCTTTCTTTTTAATCCACCGGTGTAATTGACTCGAGACAAGAAACTTTACTCTCCTCAAACAAAAAACTTAATGCTCTCTCCGCTAAATTAAAATAAAAAGAAAAAAACAAAATAAAAGAGCAAAACTTTGCCGAAGAATTAAAATAAAATAATCCGAGTAAACAATAACATATTACTCGAACTAAACATCATTAAAATAACAATTACATTAACTTTAATTAATTTCTCTCGACTTAACTTTCTTGTAAACTTTTCACCGTCAATTTATTTTTTTTTTATCTTTACAAATTTTTTTTAATTAGTAAAAATATATTTTTTTTTCGCCTTTTAAATAATTATTCTAAACTAAGTCGCGCATTTAAAATAATTAAATTAATTACGTCTGATTTTAAACGGACGGTATTGATAAATTTTTTTTTTCAATAATTGTTAACAATTTTAATTTTTTTAATGATGTAATAACAATTTTTAGTGAAATATTTTTAACCAAGGAGACGTAATTAATAAATATGCGAGCTTAGTCAAAAAAAGTATATACATCGTATTTTTCTACCTATTAATTATTAATTATTAATTATTATTATAATAGTTAATAGTATAAATTGTTGTTATAATATAATTTTAATAATAATAATAATCTAGTATAATCATTTTATGGCGAAGGCAGATCGATTACTCGACCACAAAAAAGGGCACACAGAAAATCGGTTGTTAAAAATTAAGAAGAAACAACAGTGGGCCTCAAATTATTTTTAATTTAAATATTGCACGGGATTAGCAATTATTTATTGGGTATTGTTTAGTGGATTTTATTAAAAATTAGTGTCGTAGCGCATCGGCTGCCAAACTCCAGTTGTTTCATCACGGCGGTAGTAGTGGGGCCTGTTGTCTCGGAAAACTGTCACAGCCGGAAATTGATTGTCTTGGATGTATTTTAATGTTGCTCTTACCTGAAAAAAAAAAATTTTTATTAATTTAGTAAAAAAAATTTTTAATTATTTTAAAAACAATTAATGGAAATTTTTTTTAAGAACACAGAAAAAAAAATTAGCTTGATTAAAGAGAAAAATTTTTGAATCAAATAGAATTTACTCAAACTAAAAAAAATTTCTTAGTTTAAGAATTTTTCTATTCAAGAAAATGAAATTTTTCAAATTTACTTGACTTAAGTTATTTTTTTTTCTGTGCAAAAAATAGCAATTTGTTATACTTATATAGATTTTGAGAATTACAAATTATGAATGAAGAAAAATTTGGCTTAATTTTTTGCAAAAATTTGAAATAAAAATTATGAAAAGGTAAAAGGTAAAAATTCACGGTAAGATCTTTCTAATGGTACCAAATTTAAGTTTAATAATTTTTTTGAGTTATTATTATTATTATTATTATTATTCCTTTCAAATTTGTCTTTTTTTAATAATGATAATTTTAATGTACACAAAAAAAAAATTAAGTTAATTAAAGAGAAAACTTGTTGAATTAAGTAAAGTTTTCTCAAATTAAAAAAAATTTCGTAGCTTAAGAATTTTTCTATTCAAATTAAGAAGATGAGTTTTTTCAAAATTATTTACTTGATTCAAATAAATTTTTTTTCTGTGTAAAAAAAATAGCAATTTTCAATCATTATGTGGCTTTTAAGAATTACGAATTATAAATAAATAAAATTTGGTTTAATGTTACAAATTTTTGGAACCAAAAAAATTTATTTGAAACTAGTTCCAAAACTTGACATAAAAAAATATAAAAAAATTCTGTTTTGAAATGAAAATATTCAAAAATTTATGTTATTAATTTTTTTAAACAAATAAATACCTGAGAAACGAAATGTGGTGGTTCAACATCTGGCGATGTGGATAAATGTTGTAAAATAAACTGATCAGACTGCGCCAGCCACAAATCAACTCCACGAAGTGGGTCGTAGTTGAAAGGTCCGATTCTCAAGAGTCCTAGTCCACAATCGTAAACATCTAGAACCTAAACAAATAATAATAATAATTATTATTCTAGCGATAATAGTAAGCAAAGTCAATAAAGTCGGGAGATCTATTTCTAAATCTTAAAAATTTCAATTTTAACAGGAACAGAATTATTTACAATAAAATTATCAATAATAATGAAAAATTGGTGATATAATAAAAAAAAATTTAATTACTGTAAGAAAAAAATTTTTGAACTAAAAAAACAATTTTTTTGAATCCAATATTAAATTTTTTTAATCAAATAAAATTAAACAAAACCAAAAAAAATTGTTCGAATTTTTTTTTAGGCTCAAATTTTTTTTGACAATTCAGTTAATTTTTTTTTTTTAAGTAATATTGATAATTATTCTTGTTGCAATAAATAATAAAAAAATATAAATTAATATATCATAAAACAAGCTTACTTGCTGTCCTCCTGTCAAGTGCCTCGCAGACCTTAAAGCTTGATCAGGACCCTTATCCGGGAAGGTTGCCGGAAATATTTCTCCGGTCTTAACATTGAGCCCAATTCCATAAATGACGGGCCAATGGATTCCTCCTCTGACAGTGGTGTTAAGCTCGCCCACGCAGCAAAGTGTCAGGTCGATTTCAATGGGTTGCTTGTGAAAGGCAGCTATTAAAGGTTAATTATCATTTATCATTTATTTTTTTCATTTTCTAATAAGTGTCCTATTTATTTTTATTTAATCTATTACTTACATAAAATATTATAAAACATTTCCTCGGAGTAATTCCTAGGATCCGAGTATCCGCCAACGAGCTGGAGCTCAACCCGGCCTTCAGGAAACCCGAGCGCGAGTTCCGTCACCCTCTGAATCATCGCAGCCGCAGCATCTTCGGTACCAGCACCATCAAGATGTGCCAGCGCAACAGCGCCTGATCCTATAAATTAAAGTATCCGATGTGTAAAGTGTAAAGTGTAACGTGTAACTTGTTACTTGTTACTTGTAATGTCTAATGTATAATGTTCAATGTGCGGAGATAATAAATGGCTATCGGGTTAGGTGAGATACAGGAAATTTAATCTTCCATTCCGAGTATATACCAAGACTAACATATTTACTGCATTTTATTTTTTATACTTTAGCAATTACACCCACAGAAAATTAATTTAAAAAAAAATAATAATAATATAGAACATATATGATACATGTGTGACCATATGTGAAACATATGACCATATATGAAATACGTGACCTATACAAAGCATATTTTATTATATGTATTACATATATGCTAATATTTATAGCATATACTAGCAATCTTGTAGTCACTTTGTGACTGCTGTAACTTATGAACTATTAATGAATAAAATTTTGGTTCATTAAATAATGACTTTTGTTAAATTTAACTGTATTTTCTTAACTATTGATGTTTTTGAATATATATGCTCATCCCGATGTTACACTCATCAAGAGCTTTCATTTGAGTACCCACATGCATTTTGATATATTTTTCATATATTCATATATATATAATATACATAATATATATAAATATATAAAAAATTGATGTGGGTACTCAAATGAAAGGTCTTGATGAGTGTAATGTCGGGACGAGCTTATATATTTAAAAATATGAATAGTTCACAAGATACAAGGTAGTTTCTTAAATATTGACATTTTTTAAGATATAAACTCATTTCGTTGTTACATTCATCAAGAGCTTTCATTTGAGTACCCACATGCGTTTTGATATATTTTTCATATATTCATATATATTATATATATAATTATATAAAAAATTGATGTGGGTACTCATATAATAGGTCTCGATGAGTGTAACATCGGAATGACCCTTATCCTATTCCTATATACTAAAATTGATGGTAGAATGAAGTTAGCTTAGTATCGAAAACATGGACCCTGATTCCTTATTGGTTGAGATTTAGATTGAAGTTAGCTTAGTATCGAAATAACGTTCAGAATTAGAGCGCGCGCGTATGCGCACAATTTAAATTCCTAGTATCTTTGAAAATGTCAATAGTTCACAAGATATAAAGTAATTTCTCAATTATTGACATTTTTAAAGATATAAGCGCATCCCGATGTCACCCGCATCAAGAGCTTTCATTTGAGTACCCACACGCATTTTCATATATTTTTCATATATTCATATATATAATATATATAAATATATGAAAAATTGATGTGGGTATTCAAATGAAAGGTCTCGATGAGTGTTATGTCAGGATGAGCTTATATCTTTAAAAATGTCAATGATCATGATCATATATAGAACGTAGGTCTTATTGGGTACGTATATGATACATATGTGACTGCTATATGACGTATGTGTAACCGTATGTAAGATACATAACTACAATATTATTTTTATAAATAATAATAACTCACCAGAATGTCTAACAACAACAATTATACACGTGGTCATGTCGTCTGATCCAAGAATACTCACGTTCTCTGTAACAGATTAAGCAAAAAGATGTTGAATAAAAGTTAAATATAGATAGCGTAAGGAAAAGGGTTACGGTCAGATTACTTTACCAATCAACTTGTCTTTATTTCCTTTTTCACTACTACATAATATATAGATATATAGATATACATGAAGCTAAAAAAATTAAACCCTTTGGTCGTAATACTTTTTTATTAGTTCTATCGTATCCTCTTTCATTTAAAGAGAGTTGAATGCTGTTCCTATAGTTGAAGCCGGTAATTGGCAGTCCTGAGCTCGAGTACAGTCGTGAATTATCGATAATAATCTCTACGACAGTTAATATTGCGTCGCTTTTACTTTTAAGTCAATATTGTTGTGTAATTTTTAATTTTTAACGAACCATTACCGCAACCTGCAATTTTTATTTTTCCTCTTTCTTAATTTTTTTCTTTTTTTTATTTTAATTTCATTCAATCGTAATCTAATAAACGCGAATCGACTTATATTGAGCGATTGAAGGTATTTAATAACCGCTGATGGATACGTTAAAAAAGCTGTTATTGAATTACTCAAGACGATCTGGACATTTATGTAAATAATTGATATTAATTGATTGTAATTTCACGCGTGTCACTCCGCTCCCTGCTTTCTTATTTTATTATTCTGGTTTAAGAGGTACTAAGTTCATATGCAGATAAATCTCATAAGTCGACCAAGTTTAATACAGTCATTTTTTATACTCAATGTTGTTTATTTTCTTTGGATATTTAAATAAATATAAAGCGGGCGTAAAAATCGATTTTTAAACATTTTTTTTTTTAGACCCTAAAAAAACAATTATATTTTTTATAATTTTTCCAAATAAATTTTTTTTTTTACGCTCTTATAGTTTAAATATTTTTTTTATCTCAGACCCAAAAGTATAAACATAAAAAGTTTGGAAAATCCAAAACTGCACGCCTCATAAAAATGTGCATTAACATTGTGAAAAAAATTTTTTTTTGATTGGAAAACGACAACTTACAAATTTTCATCAAAAAAAAATTTTTTTCAGTAAGAAAATTACTATGAGAACAATTTATGTGTAAATATTATTCTACAAGTGCGATAGAAAATAAATAGAGACAATTTTAGTTGAAGAAATCGCTTGATTTTTGTAAAGCGAGTGTAGAGCACAACCTCATCCGCTTCACTTATGAGGCGTGCAAAAAAAAATTTATTTTTTATATTTTCAGTAAATTTTCATATTTTTAAAATTCCTGACTGAATTTTAATTCAATTAAGATAATTAATTAACATACACGGAAAAGAAAATGCGGTAAATCCAACTACACTTGGAGTAGTATTTACCACAGGATGGACTAAAGTATATATACGCTATAGTGTGTTTACGGATGATTTTCATGTGTTTCTGTGACAACTCCAAGTGATGTTGGATTTACCGCACGTTTTTTTCCGTGTATATAAATAAAACAAAAAATACTTACTGTCATGAGGAAGCGTTGCCGCCATTTCTCGTTGCTGGACATAGAGAAGGCCAACCGGACCAACTAATTTCGCGGGCATTGAATGCAATTGAGCTGCCGTCTCACGATAAATTGGATGAGCTGCATAGAGCGACCGGCTGTCGATCGGAGGCTCCTCTTGCAGGACTCCGTTTACCACCAACACCATCCTATTAAAAAAAAAAAAAAAAAAAAAAAAAAAAATTTTTTTTGAATATTTTATTTTTAGCACTCGGTTATTGTATTTATGGCTATTTTTATTTTGGTAGAGATTGACAAACCGTTTGGACGTCATTAATCATTTTTACATGAATAACATGTAGTGATAAAAATAAGTACATATTATTTCAATTGCGATTGTTTTAATTGTGGAGATTGTTGACTCTATTTTTTTTAACAAATTCATGTCTGTATAATGTATCATTAACATATTTAAATTTAGATTTCGGTTTGTAGTTATGATAAGTTAAAAAATATACTAAGTAACATTTAACTTTGTATTATTAATAAATAATTAAATATATTTACGGGGTAGCTGTACAATAAATGATATAATTTGAATTTTTTCTGTGATAAAGTAGAAAAAATACTTGAATACAATTTTATGAACAACTATTAAAAATTTAATTGTCATTTTTATAACTTGTTCAACACTCAATACAAAATTTTTTTAAATAACAGTGTCTACTCACTGCTGTAGATACTTTAATCACAGTTTTAATAGTATTTTTCTTACCTGGGGCAGGAAAATAAGAAATGTCTCAGATTACATGTAATTGTTGACCGAGGCGAAGCCGAGGTCGACAAACATGTGATCTGAGGCTTTCTTATTTCCTGCCCGTGGTGAGAATACTATTTTTCTCCTCGACGGAGGCGGAAAGCGGCATTTTCGTTTAGCGCAGCGAGCAGAAAATTGACGCTTTCCGCACGGAGGGGAGAAAATACTTTTACTCAATTAACAATTTCTTGGTTCAAGAAACTCGTTGACGATCAAATATTCTATTATTATTAATTATTAATTTCTGAAAAAAAGAACATCAATATTTATCTTTGGATAATAGATAAACAAAAGAATAGCTTTATTTAAATTAAGTAAAAATTATTTCAATCAATTTAACAATTTCTTGAGCTAAGAATATATATTCTTGAAAATTTTCAAGAACATAAATTCTTGTATCAAGAAAATTTTCTTAATAAAAGTATTTTTTTTTCTCAGTGTACTTGTGTACAATTCACAATGTATACATTACAAATCCAGCTAAGTAACCCTCATGAATGTTTTCGCGCTTTAATCCCCTTCCTCTACAATACGCTTGACACATTTAAAATTTATTTGTCACTTATTTTTTTTTTTCGCTCGGTTTATTATTATTATCATTATCATTATCGTGTATTTTTATTTAACACATCCCGTCATTTAAAGCGCGCAGAACATTACACAAGGGCCATAATATTTTATGCTCGCGTATTAAGTCGCATTTCGTGGGTATTAATTTCATCGCCGACGAAAAAGATTTTTTTTTCTTATTTTACTTTTTATCCTGATTCGTCTCGCTTTATTTTTTTATTTTTTTCAGAATTTTATCTTACCCTCATTTCCGCAGCACGTACCACACGTGCTTGACTCTTTTGCACTATTCTCTATCCTTATCTCCGTTCCGTATATTTTCATACTTATTTATATGCAAAAAAAAAAAGATTCTTGTATGATAAAATCACGCATGAAATCTGTTTATTTTCCATAAGTTTTGTTTTTCCGTAATTTATTTCATTAGCAATTTAAATAAAAATAATTTTATACAAACGAGTCAATTTAAAAAATATAATTATGTCAATATATTTTTTAAAAAATTTATTTTTTAATATTGTCACCAAAATTTTGTTTTTAATTTTAATTTCTGTTTTAAAAAACAAGATAGTGAATAAAAATTTATTTAATTCCTTTGGAAATTTTTATATCTTTAAAAATATGTCTTAAATATTTTTTTCCAGATTGCGTTTAAGTAAAAAAAATTTTTTTATAATTTCTAGTAAAAGAATTTGTTGTTAAAATAAAAATATAAAATTTTTTAAATAAAAAAATTTAATTATTGTTTTTAATAACAAAAAAAAAATTTTAGAAGATTTAAATTTGCCACTTTAATGGCGCTGCATGTAAATTATCAATGACGTCATTTGATTAACCAATAAGAATTTTTTGAGAGCATTTTAAGGTTATTAAGCAACAAAGCACCCAAAAATTTTATTAAAAACAAGAAATTTTTGGAATTAAAAGATAAAATTCTCTTAAAAATAATTTTTTTCTTGAATCAATATTAATTTTTTTTTAATAATTGTAAAGAAAAAATTTAATAACTTTTAGTTCTCTTAATTGAACACTTAGTTTACATAACAAATTTCACAACATAAATTAAATAAGTGATAATAGCAATAATATAAAAAGCGCTACTTGTTATTAAACAAATGCGACTATTAAATAAAACTTGTAAGTAAATACGCAGGTTAACGATTATTTAAAAAGATCAATATGTAAATAAATAAAAATAAAGAGTAGAGTAGCGATATTGAATCCAAAGTTCAACTAAGCGGTTAAACGGATTGCGATAACGAAGAAAGTGTAATAATTAACAGTAACAATAATTTATTCATTTAAACTAATAATAACTCTCGTTTGTTTATTTAGTTATTCATAATTCATAAATGGGGGTTATGATAATGATGGTGGTTTATTTATAATACAAAGGAGGTTACTAACGAGACTAAAGATCAAAAAGAGAGATCTATGAGGATCGAAGATCACCACTATTGTTATAGAAAATTCGTGACGTGCTTTCGTGTCAAGTAAGCCGAGTATACGTCTAAACCGCGACAATGTGCTTGTATAACAAGTTACAAGATGTATGTCTAGCCTAGCTGGCACTAAAATGAGATGAAAAAAATAATTGTAAAAGGTAGATGAGAGTGAATAGAAGATCAAAAGAGACCTATTGCTAAAATTGATAAGAATCGGCGAGAATTGTTGTTTAGAGTCAATGGACCGATTGTTACTTGCTTTTGATATTACGAAATGTCGTCGGTTTGTATTTCAGACTAGCAATTAATTTTTTATTTAATTGGCATAAGTGATTAAATAATTTAACTAATTAAATGTGTTTTAATTAATTTGAAAAGTTCCAAATTTTAGAGAGAAATTTTTAATTCATTTTAGATTTTTTTTAGAATTAAAATTTTTAAATTGACAGAAACTTTTGGACTTTTTTTTTTAGAAGATAATTTTGATCTTGAATTTTTTTAAAACTTTTGGACAATTTTTTAAATGTTCAAAATTATTGATGGTCAAATTTAAATTTATCTTTTAAAATTTTGAGAAGTTTTAAATTTGAGGAAGGCTTTAAAAATTGTAATTTTTAACTTTTAATTAAGAATTGTTTCAAAAATTAATTAATTAAAAGAAAAAATTCCAAGTTTCAATATTTAATACATCAAAAAGCCTTAAAAAAATTTTTAAATGATAATTTTCAATTTTTACTCAAAAGTTTATAAATAAAAATAAAAATTCCAATTTCATAAAATTTTTCTACTAAATAAAAAATTCTTCTGTGTAAACTTTAAATTTTTCTGAGCTCAAAAATCATTGCAATCAAAATTATTCATACGCGTCGATTAAAAAACAATTTAATCACCAGCCAAAAAATGCAACTTACTTAAAAACAAATTTTCACAAAAGTCACTTCAGTTCCAACCAAAAAAACAATCTTCAAAACTCAGAGATCAAACAACAGTTATCATCAATATTGCAATTGCAAACACAGATATAAATTATTATTTACACTGAAGTGATCGCGCATAAAATGTATCGACTATTAACTCGACGAACCACCAGTCACTTGGTATCCCCAAACCTACCATAATGAAATGTGTTCGGCTTATTAACAAATCTCTGCTAATTATAGCCTTCCTTATCATTGTCCGAACGGATTGGCTGACATGCGTCCTACGTCAGCGATGGGAGGAGTCCAAATCAAAACAGCCAACCACAAATATTCAGAATTCTGAGTAGATACGTACAACACACGCGTGCTGTACAGATGTATATATAAGCTTATACATATTAATGTGACTGTCGATTAAGCTAAACACTGCCATAGTCAACAATAACAATAACAATAAAAATGATAATAAAATAATTTGCATTGCAAATAGGTTTAAATCACACGATAGTAAAGATTTTAAAAAATAATTTTTTTCTTAATTAAAATATTTTTTTTTAAGTGAAATAATTTTTTTTTCAGTGCATTAATCTTAAATTTACAATTAAAAATATTTTTCTGACCCTAAAAATGTCAATAATTAATTTTTTTTTTTAAATAATAACCATAAATTTTTTAAATTTAAATTTCCCGCTTTGATGGCACTGCAAGTAAATTATCAATGACGTCATTTGATTAACCAATCAGAACTTCTGAGGACATTTTAAGGTTATTCCTTAGAGAAAATTTATCTTTAATCAAGTAAAAGTGAACATTAATTAATTAAAAATCCTATTTAGAAAAAAAATGTTGTGTTTTTAACTAATTTTCTGCGTAAAAAAATTTATTAAATTTTTATTAAGTAAAAATCAATTACGTATTTGTGATATATGAATAAAATAACCTTCTGATGTGTGTAAAGATTTATATTAACAAGCCCGGGCTGATGTACCGGAGGAAAGAAGAAGAAAAAAAGGAAAAAAGGAGAGGCAGAGAATATAGATGAGGGAATAAAGGAGTGATAGGATCTGGGTTCACTTGGAGGAGATGGAGATGGGAATAAAGCACACCAGAAAAGGATTAAGCACATACGAACACACTCTGCCAGTAACTGTTGTCTGTTGTCTGTTGTGTGTTCATATGTGCTAGATTAAATCTGTAAGAACGAATGGACCGGATAGAGATAGGATGATGTGGAAAAATCCGAAACATCATATTGAAACTGCTCTCTTGTAGTTGTAGTTTAGTTTTGTATGAACTATGCTCATCTTATATGCTTTTATGTGAGTAACGCTCTTCTTTTGAATTTTAATCCTTCAAATCTGAAACTGGAATGTCACTCAAGTTTTTTTGGATGAAAATTGATGTCAATTTTTCAATTTGGAAAAAAAAAAAAGGAAGATTAGCAGACTTTACTTGA